CCTTCCAATGCAGTTCTCGTTTGACATGCGCTGTCAACTTTACTTTTTGTTGCTTCGCCTCTTTTTGATCTCAATGCCTTTCCATATAATAAATATCTTATTAACCTCGTTTGCTCGGTCCGTACCGTAAGTTATGGATCCTCGTTTTTTCCACTTTTTTATGGCCCGCGCGCTACGCGCTTGGGCCATAAGGCAGTGGAAAAAACTCGGTCCATAACTTACGGTACGGACCGAGCAAACGAGGTTAATAAGAGCTATATATCCCTGTGACCCATGAAAGTTTCTTGAAAATATATTTTTAGCTCCGCGCGCTAGACTGAGCTATTTTAGCATGCGAATCTTGATTGGTCAGATTGTAGTGATGCCGTGGGTACACAAGAGATCGGCAGTGACAAAGCAAGCTTCACGCAGTTGACAAAACAAACTTTATTCAATTTGACGAGAAAATGTGTTTAGAGGAACTCCTTGAGAAATTCTGAAAGATATTTGAAGGAATCCATTATAACAGCATATGTAAAAAATACTCAGCTGAGACAACATCATTCAAGCTGGTTTTTAAATCAAAACAATGGTCGCTCGATTGAGACTCAATCATTTTGGAGTTGATTGCAGTTATAGATGAGACTTTAAGTTATTCCACAATTTTCCACCTAAACTGAAATAGAGTTAATATTGCTGCATCCCAAGAACACGTACTTCTGACCTGAACTTCAGTGTTTTCAAAATGACAAGTTATCTAATGGACATCTAAATGAAGATAGATTGGACTCGTTTACAAAAGAGCCGGATTTTCGATCAACAAACTTGTTGAATTCACTGAGTCAAGAGTTTAAAAAACTTTAAACTTGAGAAAAAATTTAGCATTTACTGTTGGAATCAGTTGTTTACCAGAAAAAAGAAGAGGTTTTAAGATTGCTGAAAACAGTCAAGCTGCTCGGAATAGAAAAATTAAACATAAAGGCACAAATACGCCGAACTGAGAGCATCTGGCAGAAAATATCGCAAGTAAAATGCCCTTCAATCAGGTAAAAATAATCTCTTTTTTATTAGTTTGAATCCTCAAATACTAAGTTTGATTCACTTTTTGTACTTCGGCGATATTGTGATTGTATTTCTATTGTCTGTTTGGGACTTTAGAAGTTGAAAAGTTATGAAAAAAAAACATTGAGGCGCGGAGCGAAATTTCATGGTGCAAAATTTGAAAGAAAGTTCTAGTTTTATAATAGTCAAACTTTTTCATTAATTCGCCTTTTCTCAATGGGCAATGTCTTTTGCATAAACTGACACACCGTATTTTGGCAAGCTAAACATATTTAATAATTGTGAAAAATCACTTCAGTGCCTCTTGTAGTTTTTTCCTCTCTGAAAACAGAAAATTTTCTTCGGCACATTTCGGTGCAAATAGTTTTTCTGATTCGTGTRTGAAACAAAATACTGGTCTTGTTCATCGTCTTCTTAATTACTTTAACTTCCACTTTATTTACTATAGAAAACACTACGGTAAATGCTTTTTTAGCTGTATTCACTGTAGGTTTTTCGCTATTTTCATCGTATTTTTTATTGCGGTTTCTTTTCCCATGGCGTCTTCGCTGTTTTTAGCGCTTGTTCGTATGTGACTGAAAACCATCCTGATTTGATCTTTTTCGATGCTCTTTTACAATTAAGAACACATGATACTTTAAGAATTTCAACTTTTTACTGATTTTGAAGATATTCTTCTCGTCGGGAACTAAACAGCTTTCGCTCGCATGGAAGTACTACAACCCCCCCCCGGTACTACAACTCTGAGCAGCAATAAGGGATCGCATGTTAAAAATAGCTCAGGTTTGTGCGCGCAGGTTTTCAAGAAACTTTCATGGTTACAGACCCATGTATGGGAGATGTGCTCTCTTACTTAATATTCTCTTGGTAGTAGCAGTAATTTTTATCTCAAATTTCATTACTCCCTATTAAGCGGTATTAAGCGGTCACCCTCGGGACTAGAAAAAGTGGCCGCTTAATAGAGGTTGATCGCTTAATAGAGGTTCAATAAAAAAAATTGTGTTTTCGGCAATTAACTATATTGTATTGAATTTACACAGTAAAATGGATCGTTCGACTCTTAATACTGTGCACTGTTAATTAGAATTACTTTTAGATATAACAAAACACAATTAGCGATTAGTGCGCATAGGAGGTCTACTCGCAAGCCAATCCACAAAAATGAGATACAGAATGGTGAAACTGTTCTTGGGCATATTCCAAAACTTATGGCTTTATGGGTGTCAAAATTTCTAAAGAGAGCGACGAATCATGGCAAAGTTGTTGTGAAAGGCAATCGTGTGAACAGAGAGGCAGGTTACGGTTTGGAAATTCTAAGTGAGTACTGCGTCACAGGAGACGAGTGGCTTAAGACAAAACTTGAGGAGCAAGGATTTTTATAGGCGTACACTATTGTTATCTTGTAGCAGAACAGAACGTAGAGCTTTAATACTTTACATTTTTATATGCTGTGGTAGAGAGCGGATATTTAAGTCTTGTTTGATTGTCGTTATAGCTAATTAACCTAATGTTACAACGAATTAAATTACAATTATTCTTGTCATTATCAATTTTTTACCTATTCATTCTAACATCTCACGTAAARCATTTCAACACAAGGCTTACTGGCTGCTTAACAGAGGTAATAAAAACAATAAATATTACCGTTGCGGTAGGAAAATAGTGACCGTGACMGCTTAATAGAGGTGCCCATTGAATAGAGGTACTAATAACACTAATTTAGTGGCATATTTTTTGGGACTTCGAAAGGTGGCCGCTGAATAGAGGGTGACCGCTTAATAGGTGGCCGCTTAATAGAGGTCCCACTGTAGTTTCGATCATAAAACCTTCTATAATAGAGAAAGAACCCTTTTCGGTCTATTGGGTTTGTGGTTTTTAGGTTATTTTCTGAAATAAATAGATTTTAAGTGCCTATGACACCTAACTTAAAATTTTCAGCATTGATTCTAATAGAGGTAAAACGATGAATAGTAAAATATTTTGATATGACGTCAAAGAAGACATCATTAAATATACAAAACTTTTCAGAGGCAGTAAAATATCCTGTATATAACATCATTATCTTACTTAAAATTTAAAGAAAGGTTGTAGAAAAAAAATATCAAGTAATATTAGCGTTTCGATTTCCATGTGATGGCAGATATGGCAAACTGAAATGCCTCCTTTGCATGAGGTCACGTCATTCACATTTTGGGAGTGTAAACCTTGAGTATATCCGATTTAAATCACTCAAACCATTTAAACTTTACTATTCAACTTTTCACTTCATTTAGAAATATTATTGCTGAACATTTTGAATTAGGTGTCATATGCACTTGAAAGAAATTCAATATGGCGTCCAAGATAGCGGATCCAAGATATCGAATACAAAAGCAGCAAATTTATTTCTAAAGATAATTTATCCGCGTATAATTTCCATTTTTCGTAAAATGTCTTTTAAAGACCCATTGCCACTTACCGTGATGCATCACAATTTGTTTACATTTTCAATCGTGTCACCACTGAAAATACAATTCTAATCTTTTGAATAAACTCTTAAAAAAATGTAAAAGAATCATTTTTGTGCCTTAATGCTATGTCGGAAAAGGATTTAATATGAAGTTATTATTCAATATATCAATCTTTGAATTTCATGGACCACGAAATTCATCTGTGACCGCGGTGCATCACGGTAAGTGGCAATGGGTCTTTAACCTGAAAAAAAAAAGCTATTTCTACCAAAAAGGAACACAATTAATTGAATTTTATAAACTTCTAGTATTTATGACGTGTGTATTACGTCATAATTCGTAACCATAGATACATGAAGTTCTAGATTTTATTAAAGGTAGCCCAATCTAGGTTTCTGTGGTGGTATGTTATAAGAAAATGTATGGCGATCATTAAAAAGCTCAACACAATCATCAAAGTGTTAAATAAGATAAAGAAATCTTAGCCGAGCTTTTAAAAGTAGTATCTCTTTCGCCCTGTGCACTTAGATTTTGAAATTAACCAGTTTCATCGTTTTTTCCTTCACTGTTAAGAAAGCAGGCAAGGTAGGAGACTCGGCATCCCAACACTGTAAAGCTCTGAGTCCTCGTAAATCTTCGAATCCCTATTCGATTGCGATAATTCCTTTAGATTCTTTCTCTCACATCCCTATAGAGATACTACCGTTCTAAGGGTAAGCTAAGTTCTAAAGGTACTTTGTTTCACATTTTGATGATTGTGTTGAGCTTTTAAATCATCGCCATACATTTTCTTATAACGTGACAGCATTGAAACCTAGCTTGGTCTTATATTATATTATATWATTATATTATTATTGGTTTYATATTATGCTTTATTAAAAGTTTAAGCTATTTTGCAATATATATGACGTCACTATGACGTCATGATAATATGTTTTGCGTTGCTAATGACAATTTAAGACAGCATATATTAAATTGCAACTAAATTGATTCACAATGACGTCGTATAACGTCATAGTGACACCAAAGTGTCTGCAGTAACTTTATGTCAGATATAATTTTTTTTCTGTGAATTGGGGGTCATACACCAAGTAGTTTAAGAGTTACAGAGGGCGGGCCTCGAAAGCCTACCCCCTCCCATCCCCTGTCCCAGGAAACATAAAAAAAGCTGGGTCTGAATAGGGTTAAAACGAGTGCTTTACTTACAAAATTACCAATTCTCCAAGATTCGTAAACACAGCAGTCTGATTTTCCAGATCGAACATATTAAATGAGAACCTCCTTGATGCATGAAAATACAAAATGCAAGAAGATAAATAAAATCAGATATTTATTAGTGGATGACGACATTGATTATTGCCACTTACACAGTTGTTACTTGAGTCAGATTTCCTAGGTATGGTAGTGTTGTTAATGAATTATTTTGCATTGTTCTGGCGAAAAGAAAACATTATATTTGATACATAGCACAGTATTTTAAAAAGAACATCAAGGTCATGAAAGCAAGGTTAAACTTTTCGAGTCAAACTTTATTTGGGTCATTCAAATTGAACTTCAGCACATAGAATGCACTCAAGGTTGATTAATTAACTAACATAGTTAACTAACACTTGTCCTCAAATAGCCTCTCGCACTTCTGTTGTCGGTCCAAAATCCACTGTTAAAATAACTAACCATTTTGTTTGTACCACTTCTAATGTTGTATATTGTTTTAAACGTACCCGCAGCGCTGTAATCTTTTGTATGTGGGCGAGACTGGCCACCGTCTTGGTGATCGCATTTGCAATCATCTTTATGATATTCGCAATAACGATCACACCGAACCAGTTTCCCGCCATTTCAATCTAACTAACCATTGTCTTTCTGACTTCATTGTTTTCATTGCTTACCATCAATCACTTGACTTTTTGGAGTTTACTGGGGGGCAAACAAGCGGTTGATTGGGGGACAACTAGCATAGCGGATGCTAAGTCAAAACATATCAAAATAAGCCCTTAAACTATTGTATTTGACTACTTTCACGACATCAAACCAGAATACAAGAGATCAAAACAACCCCCAGGATTCTGCAAGCCATCAAAAAAGAGCTTACCGGAGGTGACGTTATTGATAACAACCTATATAGTTAAGAAGTTCTATGAATATGCATAAACTAAAGAAAGGATTATGAAAAATGATGACCAGCCTAGACTTAGTCCGCTGGTCAATATAATCATGATACATACAGACAAATAAAACTTGCAATAATAATAATAATAATAATAATAATAATAATAATAATAATAATAATAATAATAATAACAATGTTTAAGCAGGAGGCTCACATCACTAAGGTGTTTTTCAGAGAGGTCCTGCTAAGTTTTGCTGTTGCAGATGATGCTGCTGTCGTTGCTGCTATTGTTACTGCTCTTGTTAGGTGCTGATACGTACTGTTGCTGCTGCTGCTGCTGTCGTTGCTGCTATTGTTGCTCAATGTTGCCGTTCTTATTATTAGAACTGCTTTTTTATCTTTTACTCACTTTTCGGATTAAAATTATTAATGTTGTTGCTAGGCGGCTTTTATCGTTGTTACTGTTACTGTTGCTGTTGTTTTGAGCTTCAAATCTCTAATAGTGCTATACACTTCTATTTGTCCTTTAGCACACGATAAAAGGGAAGTTGTCTTTCTTTCCTGAGCTCCTTAGGCTCTCGTGTTCTGCTTCTGATATCTACCCACAAGGTATGACCACTTGCCTCCTGCCTTAATAAGATGATGATAATAACAAATCGTCATAGGTTTTTAGGGTCGGCTCATCTGGATAACCTAGTAGGGGGACTGTCCTATTGTTCTTATGGCCATGTAAAATTGTACTAAATTTGTATGGGGAAAAAGTTATAAACAAAAAAAAACAATCTATGAACAATCAATATTTCAACAACTTTATTGGATCTCCCTGGAAAGGGCTTTTAGATGCAATCAATAAATTTACAAATTACTGAGCTTATAGTACACTCAACAAAATTACCCGCCTCTGATTGGTCGAGAGGAGAACAATTATAGCGTTAATTGTACTCCGTAGGAGTACCGAATTAAGTCACTATGGCAACACGGCCAAAACAATG